CGTCTTGGCATACCGGATGTGTAAAGCGCCACCTGAAGATGCATCCACGTGATATTATTATACACACCTCAGATTGGATGGCCAGTTTGAACTATGGGGGGTGGGAACATGGGATAACTTTCTGTATGTGATTTTCGCGCCTATTGCCTCAGATCTTGTATTTGTTCTGACGCTACCACTTCAAATTCGGTAAAAGTCCTTTTCTCTATAACAATGGAGTCTAAGGTTTTCTTTCTTGGATTTTGAATGGAGCTACACCTAACATTACTTTAGTTTAATTTGGATAGAATCAATGTTCCTTCAATCCAGCAGATTTTCTATTTTGTATAATGATTTCTAGGTCTTTCACACTATTGTGATGTGATACCTTATCCATGATGATTGTTCACTGCAGTGGTTCAATTAGTAATACAGTTGTTAAGTGAATCTTGCTACTCTATTGACTTTGCTTGTCAGATGGTCATAAAAGGTGGTCGCATAACCCCAGGACACAGCAAACATCATAAATATGAGTCACTTGCCAAGTGTCTGAATGTTGATCATGTGACCATGGGGATACTGCAACGATCATAAGTGTGAAAAATGGTCATAAGTCACTTTTTTCAGTGCCATTGTAACTTTGAATGGTTACTAAATGAACAGTTGTAAGTTGAAGACTACCTGTAGCAATCTATAGGATTAATGAAGAATAGTGTAGTACTGCCTCTTGCTTGGCACTAGACAGATTCTCTAATTTTTTCATTAACAATTTGGTTATTCATCCCTTCCTTTTTTTTGGCATCAAGCACAGGCATCTGCCTCTGCACCTTCTGCTTAAAGATACTATAGTACTGTCGTCAATTCAACTCCTGGTGATTACATGAACATGATGACTTAGGACTCTTGTGTCTTGTTGTAGTCTTCAACATTATGCTTATTAGGATTTATGGAATGCTTCATGCATTCACATTAACTATCACAAGGTCAGAAGAATTTCAGAGTTTTCATGTTTTCAGTGTCAGCGTTAGTCTATATAGCATGTACAAAATACAGCTGCTTATTTTCAAAACCTGTATAACAAAATAACACCAATATTGCAGGAGGTGCATTAATTTCCAGTTGGTTTCTGAGTCCAACTTAAAGTAGTGGTTATTACTTATAAAGCTCTTTATATCTTGGGCCCATAGTAGCTTTGAATTGTTTGGTTTGATTCATTTATTGAATTTATCTGCCACCCAACCCCCCGCTTCAAAAGCAACTAGAATCTTCCTGCCTCCTACTCCTTGGCCAAGAGAACCCTATTCCTCTTGTGAGCAGAACAGAAGCCATTATGACTTGTGAGGAAGTGTCTCAA